CTACATGTCAATCTTGATTTAGGCGCACTTTCACAAACAGAGTTACCTAAAGTTAATTTTCTACAAATGATTCTTTTAAATCAGGCTTAACATCATAGTCATTGTTCTCTAATAAACTCCATTTACATCTCAATTTCCTACCTAATTATCTAACTGCAGATGACATTTTTGTCACCGAATGTGTCGCATTGCGATAATTTAATAACACATCTGCTAACGTAATATATCATCCCAACCCCCTTAATATGAATTCAAATTAGTTATTAAAAAAGGGATTTTTTTTAAAGTAAGATTTTTTTAAAAAACATATTATATTTATTTTAAAGATTATTTTAATTTGGATTAAAAAAATATATGTTTGATTTTGTAGACTCTGATTTAAATCTTTATATTTCTTTTAAAATACTTTTTTTTATAGTCCTGTTTACAACTTTTCCCATCTATGTTTTTTAATCTTTTGAAATTTATCTTTTATTTCAATTATCATTTTATCATTCAAATTGTCATCCTAGGTAGAATTTTATATATAATTATTAATAAATTCTGTTTTTAGCATCAAATCCCTGTCTCTTGGTTTTCTATCATCTAAAATTTATTTATAATTTAAAAAAATTGTATAAATAATAATCCGTTAGTTGGCGTTTATTATTTAAAAAAAATATATTATGTTTTTAAAAAAAACAACTGTTGATTAAATGAGGGGCAATTTCTATTGGTTGCATATTATGTTACCAGTAAATGGGGATAATAAAAGTTACTTCTAGTCAACTAGTTACAATAGTAAGTTACTTTCTCCAAAAACTCACTAATTATTACCTTGATTTTAGTCGGAAATGTACCTATCCTAACGATATGAGCACTCATTAACAGACTCCAAAATAATATTTAATCCTAATGTATTTTTTAAAAATTGGCTCATAGTAAACCACGAATTGATTCAAAAAATAATTACGAATTTCAACAGGAAAAAAAATGAATTAAAATGTAATCCACTTCTCATCATTGATGAATTTAATTATTGACGGGTTCTTCAAATAATATGTATTAATTAATGATTTGCAGTTGTTGAAAATAAGGAATAATGAAATTATATTATTAGTTAGGCACATATAAGTAGGACTAAATTTTTATCACATTAAGTTTTTAGGAAGCTAACTTATTTTTATCCAAAATTACTTTAAAAAAAACTATATTTCATGAAGCAGAACACTTTTAAATTGAAAAAGCCTAAAATCCTTAAGCATGCCTCGTATTCATTTCTGCCAAATGTTTCGTATCTTGCACATTGAAATGATTTAGTATACAAATTGAAGCGAATAGATTAACCCTCGTGAAGAGAGCTTTTTTGAAGTTCACTTTTTACATCGCTCAATAATTTACCTTATCGTACATAAGCTCAATTGCAACTTGAAGCGATTTTAATGTAAACATTGATAGTATGTAATCGCTAAAATAAACTATTTGGAATACAACCTTACCTTAAATAAATAACTTTTTTTCTTTCTAATTATTCAGTATATAAGCAATGACCAAACCTGGAATCTACTATTAGGACAGAAATCTATTTTTTTTAACTTGCAAATGCAAAATATTAAGCTGTACGAGCAAACTTTTCCTTCGAATAAAAAAGCCTTTAAGTTTTTTTTTTAAAATCATTTGTTTATGATTCATTTTTCTTACAATAAGTTACACTAGATGTAACCCAAATCTCACTATACAATTACAGTTCTGGGAGCCAAAATTTTTATTAATTTTTTTTTAAACTTTTTCTTTAATTAGTGAGAAGATAAGTATATATTTTTTTAGACCATACATGATTTTCTCTATATGTTAGTAATAAAATCCTATCAGAACATTTGCTAACACCATAGACCAAAATTTTATTAAAATGTAAAGGTGGAATCAGGCGATTTTCCCCCATCATCCCCCAGCAACACAGGACTACAAAGTTGGCTTTTTAGCCCTTTCGCGCCCTACTTCTTTTCTCTCGATGAAAAATTTTTTTTTTAAGAGATAATTATTATAGACACAAATAACACATTTTTATCAAAAAAACTTATTTCGAGTATTATCAAAAAATATTCATTGATTAGAAATGTCATCAATGGGCAAAATGCAAGTTCATTTAAAAAAATATTTTATTTCATATGAAATGACAAATAACAAATAACAATTTCGTTTATTATTTAAACATAAATAAATATTACACTTTTGACACATAATTCTTGAATATGCATCTACGCAATACTTCCACCTTTGTTTAATTGTTACGGGCTTTTGGGAAATGACCTACTTGGTCATATCTTATATCCGATATGGGGACAATATTTATGGCTTTTCTTCTCTTTACAATTATACTGGAAGGTCTTCCAGTCTTATTGTTATAATCCTTTCCTGTTAGCATCATCCCTTTTGCTATTTGAGATTTAAATGCCAATAATGTCATAAATTTGATATTATTTGCTTTCATATGGCGTCTATAAAGGAGCCATGCATTTATTACACAAGAATCCAATAAATGGAATTCATTTAATATCTGTCCTATATAACTCCACCAGCATATCGTGAAGATTTACTCCACCCATTGCCTCATTATAGTTTTTAATTATAGCGGGCATTTCTACATTTATAAAGGTTTTGTCCGATACAGACCATCGTTTAATTTTGGTCGTAGGTAAAACACCTATAAAATTAGATATTGTAATAACAGCTTTGTTGTCCTGCCATTTGCAGATAATAATACCGTTTTTTTCACTTTTATAATCTACAGCGCTTCATTCTTCCTTTTTTAAAGCCTTATCGTTTTTAAGTGTGCATCATGATAATTGGTTAGACCTTACCGTTCCGAACACCAAGTATCCTTTTTTTTAAGAATCATAAATAATTGGTATGAGGAGAAAAAATTATCCATATATAATTTATGGTTTTTATTTGATGGTATTATTTCAGACAGGCCAAGTACGATATCTCCACTGATACCTAAATATGATTTTATATTATTAGTAGACTTTCCCTAGTATATTTTAAAATCATACATAAATCCAGAAGAGCCACATAGGGCAAACACTTTTATCCCCCATTTATGGGTCTTTGATTTAATGTATTGCCTTAATTTAGAGCGCCCCTTGAAAGGAATTATGAATTCGTCTACAGCTAACTTCTCTTCGAGTTGAATTTTTTTGAAATTTTTTTTAGCTGGCATATGAAAGGTTGAATTTTGAATAATTTGTCGTAACCTTTATCTTCTCTATTTACCATATTTTTGTTATTATTAATGTGGAAAAATTTTTGGATCTAAAGAAAACGATTGCGGGACATAGTTTCTGATACTTGTGGAATAGATGTCTCAACCGACCAATACTGCCGTATAAAAGGCATCTTAACTAAGCTAGTATACAAATGCATTCAAATAAATTTTTCAATTTCATTGCTATCAGTATTTATAGATTTTCCACAACATTGGAAGGAATAAATATTTGTTTCTGATACAAAATTGCTGATCATTTGGTTGTCCAAAATTTTACGAAAATAGGTTAGAGTTGAATCTGGTTCAGGAATTTCCACCATAGGAGTAAATTCTGTATTCATGTTTCCAATGTCTTATTAGACCAAAGAGAGTTATCTTTTATTTTAGTTATAGTAGTATCTTCGATTATATCCTCCAATTCAAGACCTAGTTCATTTGTAATATAAGATGAGGTTGGCAAATCATCTCCTAGCAAAGGATAATAATTGTCTTCTCTCTATATCAGCTTCAGAAATATCACCCTCGGGGATAAGTGTAGTCATATCTAAATGCAAAGTAATTAAGAAGTATCTCATATTATTACATGTTATATATATAAAATATTTATTAGGACCTCTCCATATATCCAAGAAAACTAATAGACATTAAATAATCAATACAGTAAACTATTATCAAAATATAATCTGATTACCCCCCCCCCTCCTCCCCACTTCCGTTTTAATCTAAATCTAAATATCCTAAATAATTTGACTAAAATTCCCATTTATTGATAAAAAAATATTTTAATGCATAAGAAATGACCATTGATGCCAAATGGCATTATGCTCAAATTCCAGCACCTAAAATGTTTAAAAAGATGATAATTTTTATATAAAAATATTAATATATATATATATATTTAATAATAAAATTATTACTTATATTTTTAGCAAGTTTTGATAACCGAAAATATGAATTAAAATTTTGGCGCGAAAATGGTAAGAAAAAATTGATTTTTTAAAACTATAATATGATATAATAACATATGAAACAAATGAGTTAGTGATAAAATACGAAAGAGCAAATATTAAAAATTAAAAATATGATTTTAAAAGTTATCAGTGGCCATTTTTAATGCATATAAATTACTATTGAAAAATTATGATTCCAAAAGTTATCCATGGGCGCGGGGTTAGATTAAAAACTAGTCCTTGCTGGATTCGAACCCACATATATATAAACATTTTTAGTTTCTTTTTAGGAACCCAATTATGTTTTTCTTAAAATTTAATTTCTTTGTTTTATATAGCTTCATATGTTTGCAAACGGTTCGCTCCTATCCGTTCTTATTTCTAAAATGAAATTAGACAGTCGCGTTATGTCTGGATGCCAGACCGTGGGACCGTCGGTCCAGTTCGGTCTGATCCCATATGTTTTTTTTTGTTAAGCTATTAAATTTTTATAGTGCATTGAATTTATTAAAAATGAAATATGTTAAATTGTCAATATTTTAATTATATATAATCAAATCATTTTTTTATTATATTATACAATACAACTAACTACCCTATGTTTTCAAAATAATATTAAGTCAATACCAAATTTATTGAATATAATATAAATCAATTTGCATATTTAATGAGTTCTTGATATATATAATGTGATAGATATTTGGTTTTAAAATATATAAAAAATATTTTATTTATCTTTTTTAAAAAAAATCAAAAATAATTCCATTTTTTTTAATCCATGATTCGAGAAGTATCATTGGAGATTGAACCAACTTTGGATTCATTTTATTCCATTTTTTTCATATTTTATCACATGCTACTAATGTAGCCCGCTGTGGGAAATAGTCCATTGCGATTTTGGCCAGCGTTGGCAATCGATAGAGATTTTCAATTTTTGTTTATAATAAGAAATTATGAATTATAAATAAGATTTACCGTAATTTTAATGATAATATAATTTTAGAAGGGTAAGTAAGCATTTATAAATTTTTTTAGATGAAAATTTGTAAAAATTATAATATTTAAAATATGAGTTTTGTATAATGATAAATAATTTGATTCATAAGAGAGGGGAGAGAATTATCATAATTTTATTTTTTAAATATTGTGTTTACAATTTCAATTATAAAATAAGATACAATATAAACGATATCAAATTTGGAGTCGTTCACTCTCCTAAATAAAGACGGTAAGCGTCTTGATGGCATGTCTATAACAACTTGGCTCGGTGGCAAAAGACTTGACTGGGGATTGTTGTGGTTATCCACTTTAAATATAATAATTTTAATATCCTTATTCTAATCTCCACACAGTTTTTCTTCACACTATTTAATTTATTTTTTTAATCTTAACCCTTAAATATATCTATATACTTATACCCAATCTCAACACAATTTTTCTGTCACACTATTTAATTATATTTTATTCTTAACCCTCAAATATATCTATATAATGTTGCCGTTCCTCACTTTAAATATAACTTCTTCTTATATTTGAAACTAATTTTATGACCACTTTTTTACTTTCTTTAATTATTATTTTTTATTAATCTTTATTTTTATTTCAAACCCCCCCCCCCCCCCCCCCCCCCCCCAAAAAAAAAGAAAGGAATAGTGAAAATTTCGAGAAAAAAAATTGTATTTTTCAAAATCAAAAAAAATCTATATGGATCCTGTCCCAAGATTGAGTAGCCTTAGGCCAAACACTTTCTTTATCCCTATGAGGCATACTAGCCCAAGAATTAGGCATTACACAACTTCGGCTTATATTTAAAATCTCTTCATAATACTCTCTTCCCCATTGTTTCATACGTTCAACACCTTGATGACCTGCATGTATCATAATTAACACTGCTCCTCTTAATTTCCATAGAGCTACTCCACGATTTCCGCTTACTACACATTCATATACTATTGTCAAGGATGTGTTATGTGTTACCTCACTTCCCGCTGATAGAAACTCTAACCTCTTGGAACTCCGAGAAATCCAAAAAATGCAATAAATATAGGTCCATTTTAAATTCTTTTATTTATATCCTTCTAATTTTTAGTGTTTTGGGAAACTGCGGTTCCCAATCCCTAAAATTTTTAAATCAATCGGGTATAAAAAAAATTTCATTAAGGTCGGGGGTTAAAAACGAGTCCCTCTCCCTCAAACAAAAAATTTGATTTGAAATCCTAAAAGGGAATTACAAGTGTTTCTTCGAAATATTCCCTTTTCCCTCTTAGTTCAACATACATGGTATTCTTCTTTTTTTTAAAATATATATTATTATTTTTCCCAACTCTTGATTGCTAAATGATATATTAAATATAATTCAAATAAATCAACATTTTTTATTTTTAAATAAATAAATAGAAATAAGAATAAATTTAAAATGAATAAAAAATTTTTTTTATATGTTTAAAAAAAAACGTAAGAAGGTGCCTCAAGGTTGACACAGTGGATTGATAAATCTCAGAGGGCCGGGCCGTAATACCAGGTCCGGGCTTAAATTTTTTATTTAAAAAAAATATCTGGGCCGGGCCAAATATTTAAAATTAAATATTTTAAAAAAAAAATTGGGCTGAACCAGGCCTAAAAATATAAAACCCCTCTTTTCAATTTTTTTTTTGAATGGGAATAATAAAATCAAAAAAAATAAATCATTTGGATGATTGAATTTAAAAAAAAAAAAATTAAATTCGGAAAGTTATCATATCATAAACGTCATATTTAAACTAAGCCAAGCTAAAAAAAAATTATTCTTAGCATTATAGGGGTCTCGTTTAAAGTGCGCGAGATTGGCTTAAAGTTACGCCAAATTCATCGCATCACATTTCATCATAGCTTTCGAACTAGTTTTATCGCATCGCTCATTATTAAAAGCTTTTCTATTTTACGGAGAGATGAATTTGGCATCGTTTGAGCGAAAAAACAGAACCTTGAGTAAAAAAAAACCGCTGTCTTGTTCTTTTAACTATGTAAAATTGGTTTAGTCTCAACCTTATAAAATGGATTCAAACTTTAACCATATAAAATTGGCTCAGCTTTATCCAAATTATCTTTGCAGACTTGATTTCAGCTATATAAAATTGGCTCAGGCTTACCCCGACCCCCCAAAAAACGAATTGTTTTGGCTAACTTCGCCGCGAACATACTTTTCCGAAAATCCAAGTTTATATATATATTAAATTTTATTAAATTTTTAGCTTTGTTTAATTTACATTTTTTTTATTTTGATATGCTGTTAATTATGTTTGTGAATTAAGGAATTAAATAATAATAATTTTTTTTTTAATACAAAAATAATTTAAATGTCTTTAAAAGTTTCTATGTTTATTTTTTTTTTGAAGATGAATAATTAAGTAAAAGGCATTTGAACTTATAAATTACGTATTTTATATATAAGCATATTTTTTCAAACAAAAATTAAATGTATTCTTAAAGATAATGACATTTTAAATTGTCGAAAAAATGAAATTCAATCATTTTAGATATAAATTTTTTATTTATTTAAAAAAAAATATTATCTATATTTCCTTATTTATATTTTAAATATTATATACTTTTTAAAATGGTCAAAAGATGCGACACCTCGGTAGCATTATATATATTATTCCCATTAAAACAACTCGAGTTAATAGTGTGAAAACTTTTATATAAACTTGCTGGATAGTTTTGAAAACGGGAAAGAATGATGATTTATGATGATATACATAATAATTAAACCATTTTTTTTCTTAAAATGCATGCATCTTGTTGTAGGAACTTATTCTTATGGAAATACGAAATATTTTTTAAAAAAAATAGATAGGTAAAAAAATAAAAAAATTTTCTCACGGTTTATAATGTTAAAAAGATCTACTGATAAACTTCTAAAATTTTTCTCCTGCATAATCCTAATATGGTTATCGTTGTTTTTTTTTATTTGGCATAATACTACATATACCCCGGATCTAGGGAATATTCAGCCCTCTATCCCTTATTCATATATCTCGTCAATCGAGAATCAGGATCATCCAAGAGATGACACTTTATCGCATTCTAAGAAAGCGGCTAAACTCAGAGGATTAGCCATGAATCACTTGACGCAAGATCAAACGCGAGACACCACGTTTATTCTCAACATAGGACATACCCGTATCCCGACATCTACTGATAAATACTTGGATTCTAATAAAAAAGTTTTAGAAATTAACAAATTTAGACCCAAAAGCTTCGATCCAATTTTGAAAGAATTCTCTAACGACACACAGGACACGAAAATAAACTAGTAAAATTATCGTTTTTCAATTCAATTAAAAAGATTTGGTTAAGTTGGTAGCTATTGAGCCATAATTTTTAATTAAGAGTTTGAAATGCTCTTCAAAATAAAATTCAGAGATCTTCGATGGTTAACGATTTTTTTTAAAAAAAATAATGATCTTTTTATAAAGAATTTTTTTTATTGCTCAATTTTTTTTATTTTATTGAAAAAATTTAGTCTCCTGCTATCTATTAATTTCATTTTTAAAATTTAATTATATATAACAGATAATGAATAAATAAAATCTATATTAAAATGGGACAAAAGGAATATGTACGAAAAATTTAAAAATAACAATGAAGACCGGGGGGGATGGTATAAAAAGGGTCTAGGCTAGCTCTTTGGCTAGTAGATTACCATTGAAGGTTATGTAATTGGCCTTGAGGATTGCTATCGCAAGTCTTTATCGAAGAAAAAACCCCTCTCGAGGTTTTTCCGAGTGTTTGCCGATTTGAGATACCAAATTTTATCAAAAAATTCCAAATATTTTTTGTTTTTAACAAAAATCTTTTTTTTTGAGTGCAAATTTTTTGTGATTTCTTATGTTATAATCAAAAAAATTTATCTTTAAAAAATATTTCCCATGGAAACAATCTCCCACTGACCAGGGATTATATTTGCATTGATTTTGCCGAAGACTAACACTCTCATTCTATGATCGAAAAGGCAGAGGTCCTTGAAATAAAAATACATATACTCGCCTCACAAACACAGTCTTTATACCTGTAGTCACTAACACACGATGAATGTTTAGAAAGGAGGCCCTCAATCTTGTCAAAACCTTAGGAAGAAAAAAGGAAGACAGATTTCCCCCAACGAGGGATCTAGAAATCTGCCGATCCATTTTTCTAAGCATTCACTCCTTTCTAGGGTGACATGTTCCCTCTTTCTTTAGTTCTTTTTTTAACTTTTGTAAAATTCTATATATATAGTTGATTTTGATATAGTTTCATATCGCAATCATATTTTTTAAACTGAAAACCGTTTAATTTTTTTTACAATTTTATGATTTAAAAGGATTTTTAAAATCAAAATTTTGGGTTTTCAAACTCTGTTTTTAATATATATTTAAGAGACCAGCAGGCCCGGCCTGGTCCTATACCTGGCCACCCGGGTACACGGGCCGGGCCATATTATAATATTTTTAAACATACCCAATCCGGGCCTAAATTTAAAAAAAAAGCCCTGGTTAGGACATGCAAATTGTACCTCTGCAAGTCTCAGAATAGATCCTAATGGCGATCGAACAAAAGATATTTTTTTTAGTAAAATATAAATGGGCTCATACCCATTTAACAAATAATTTTTATAATTTAAATTTAAATTAAATTATTGCTATATAATTAGCCTCAATAAGATTTCAGACAAAATTCTAACTCAAATTCAAAATCACTCAATATGGAATCCGCTGAAAAAATTGACATCCCATTTACATGGTTTACCTCATTTTAAAATAGACCACGATTTAAATTCTCTCGAATTTATAGATAATAATTACAACGATAGCACAAATAACGTTTCTGAACGCCAACATCAAATTCAATTAAAGACAACCGGGTTTTTAAATGATTCGTTCTTAAACGAAGACATGGGTTACAACACTGCGGCCGACATTGTTAGCCCCAATCATGTTATAAAGAGAACAGAGGAAGGAAAATTTGATAAACGTGGTCTCCCTGTGAGGTATATAGCCCAAAACCAACAGATTCGTAACATTTGCAACTCTATTCCAACGAATATTACATCCCCCGAAAATGTTTTTGACGATATCGATATGAGTTTTGTATTCGTGCACGAAAATATTAAAATTATTTGGTGCATGATACCTAAATGCGGAACTACCTTCTGGAGAAAAATTCTGATGGGAATTAATAAAGGGATTTACAACATGTCAATGGTAACGCAACTTCCTTGGCTATTCACGAAAAATTCTAAGACCCTCAGTTTAGTTTTTTTTTATAAATATAATAAAATTAAAATTAAGTTCTAAATAACAATTATTTTTTCGTTGATATGGCTTTCACTGGTTAATAACAAACTTAAATTTTTTATTTTTTTATTTTTTTATTTTGTGTATAGATAAAAAAAATATTTAAATAAAATAGATTACCATAAACAAAAAAACACGCTGGACATAATTCATAAGTATCCCAAGTTCATATTTACACGTCATCCCTTTGAGAGACTTCACTCTGCCTACATCGATAAAATCTTAGGTTCCAACAATTACGTCGTTAACGCAGTGCACGAAGAAATCAAGAATATTATGAGGCTAAAACATTTGACAGCGAGTAATCAAAGTAAAGAGGGGATCAATTCTAGTATAGACAATTCAGAGACAACAAATACGAATTATGGCGGTAAATTTAAAGTTCTCACAAATGGATCACTCGAGGAAGCATGGATTAGGCCCCCATGGTCCAGTAATATAAGTGATGAAGGGAAAGGAGGGAAGGAAGAAGAAGATTCAGAAGAGGAAGAAGAAGGGAACGAGGAGGACGATCATCCGTTAACATTTTCCCAATTTCTATCTTACATAGTAGAACACGAGAAATATTTTCCGGGCAGGTCAATGAACGCCCATTGGCAACCTTCCTACAACATTTGCCAACCTTGTAACATACCTTACGATTTTGTGGGTAAACTCGAAAATATGAATATAGATGGACAGGTGCTTTTTGACATGCTTGAATTTAGTAAACTTATGCCGTTTCCGGCCGATCTTAGACCCAATCATTCGTTTCGCAAGATCGGCGATACCAAATCCATATTTAGAGCATTAGATCCCGAATTGTACAAAAAAATTCGGCACGTTTATGATCAGGATTTTAAAATGTTTAATTATTCCGACATGGGATATGACCCTTCTAAACCTTATACTGTTAGCTCGCCCGACTCAATCAGTTCTGCTGGCTATGAGGTCAACGATTCATTTCACAACGAGGAAGATAATAAACTTTATGACAATAAACTTTATGACGAAGAAAAGGATGATTTGAACTACGATGTATGGACAGATAATAAAAGGCCATTTGAAGATTATGTTAATGATTATCATGACACAGAGGATGCTGAAAACGATTTGGAAGACGAAAATAACGATACTGAAAACGAAAAAAACGATATAGAAGAAGATGAATTGGATGAATTAGATGAGGAAAAATTAGAAAAATATGTGAGGGATAACGAGGAAATGTAAAAGTTATCTTAATACTTATATTATTCATATAACAAATCTGTGATACATTTACATTGAACTAAATTTATATTTATTGATTAACAACTACCTAAATATGCACTATATGAAACTTTGTGGTATATTTTCTGTCTCCCGTTTATAAATCGATAATTAGAATATTTTTTAGTTTTAAATTTAAAAATTTACTTTATTATCGACACGAATTGAATAAAATATGATTTTTTTTGATTAGATTTTATTTAATAAATATATACTTAAAATAATTTATTTTTACAACTAAAATATTTTTTTGAGAAAAAACTTAAAAATCGTTAGCACTCAATTAACAACCTTCTCAAATTAATTTCAAACTCTATTTTAATCTAAACTATCTCCCTTTTCAATTTATCTTTTAAAAAAAATGAATGCCACCATATTTATATCGGAAATTTATACTCGTAGGGGCATGGTAGAGAATATGATGAACTAATCATGTTAAAAGTATATAAAACAAGGAATTCAAAACAAAAGCATTTTTATGTTCCTATTCCATTCCGGCCAAAAAATATGCTCCTTTCCCTATTGTGAAATATTCTTGAGTGTGTTTCCTGAAGAGATATCTAATTTTAATGTTCTATTTTATTAATTTACAAATTTTATTTATTGATCTTTATAATTTTAGATCATTTATTAGATCAAAGCATTATTTAAAATTATCTCTAAAGATTATCCTTTACATGAATGCGATAGGGTGTTAAATAAAAATTTGATTGTCTAAAAACACATTTCGACACTGGCTTAAAATAAAGTTCATTGAAATTTTAACACCTTTCATTTATAATATGATATTAACTTTATAAACAGAACAGTTAGGTTGAAATTATTTTTTAATTTGAATTTTTTTTATAAGGTTTTTAATACTAAATTATGGATAATAATAATGTTATGTGAAGCAAACTGGATTTTTAAAAAAAAATTACATATTCATTTTGAACGTTTTCGGAATTATCATTCCATTTTCGTCCCTTCCAAGGTTCCTTTCTTGGAACTTCTACAAAGTTCTGTTATTTATATATGCCCTTACACCTCATCGCCTCCTTTTCCTAAAAATTTTTTTATAAAATAAATAAAGATAAGCTTAAAAAATTTAAAAATATAATAACTTTATTTTGTATTTCTCAGGCAAAAGCTATTAAAACAAAAAATATAATAGGGTAAAAATATTATATGCCTATTAGAAATAGATTATAATTAAATTATACTATCAATATAATTCAAAACTAATTTCGTATATAAAGATTTTTCGCTATGTTAGATTATACTAAACTATATAATTCATTTTGTTAATGATACAGGGATAGAAAATATTAATTTATTGCATCAAAATCTAAAAATGTGCCCATTTTTGTAAAAAAAAATTATAATCATTATTGTTAATTATCTTAAACAACCAAATAATTTCTAATTATAAATAACTTCAAAAGATCTGAAAAAAAAATTGCAGGTTTGTTTATCAAATAATAATGAGTAATGATGATGCAAATATGTGTGTGATTTAAAAATAACGTAATTATAATTAGCTGTTTTTGTATTTATCAAAACCATGAATTCGCACTAGAAGACTATATAGTGGACTCTGATGCATGATGAACAAAAAAGACATTTAACAGTTATAGAATGAGAGAAAGGTACCGAATTGGAATGTTGGAGTACCATTTTATTTTGAATATAATAAAATTGATCTAGATAAGCACTAATTATACAATAATAACCATAATGATCAAGGGCGCCAGAATTTAAAAGTATTTTGTTCCTAAGAATTTTTTTATAAAAAGCTTTGATAAATATGCTGTGAAAGAAAATCTAGCGATAAAAGGTCACTTAAACTTTTATGTATTCTAAAATATTTAAAACGAAAATAAAGGGAAAAATTTAATTAAGAAGAAGAAGACTCCAATTGCGTACGGTGGTCTCAGAGAATGGTTTATATTCTCAAGAGGTGTCAATTTTGAATGTACCGATTGGCATAGCCGATTATTGGCATCTGATTTAAAAGGAATTGCAAAATCAGACACTTTTAGAGTTTCCAATTATTCGGACAAATGTCATCGTTTGTTTAGAAAAGAGCATTTGCGAGGCAAAAAACTTTCATATTTAGAGAAATTAAAAATTAAAAATCTATTTTAAGGAGTATATCATATGGTATATATAAAATATCTATAATATAAATATTAAAAAAAACATAACATAGATAAAAATATAGTTATATACATGCAATAGATGTGATAATAACATACTGAAAAAACTTATATGTAAAAGAACACCCTTTTTTCTTCTTATAAGGCTTTTATTTATTAATTCGATCATTTGAAATTATACATAATACACAAGTTAAAAGTGAGGTGCTAGAATAAAAGATGCGTGAAATTGACTATATGAGCATATTAAATGTATCATTGAGGTTGCGAGACCATCAAAAATTGTAGTTTATATATTGTTTGAACCCATCTAAGCTTAGAATATAAATTAAAATACCAGCTAAAAAGGTTGCGTTTGCTTTGCAATGAAAATATAAAAATTAGAGAATCTTCTATTAAATCAAATCAACTAATTATAATCTTTAAAAGAAGTGCACAAAGATACCGTGAAGAACTTTGCAAATAATGATTATTCTGTGCAAAATAATATTAGTGCTAGCTCCGCATAATTTTAATCCTTTTTTCTATTTATCTAAGGCAATTGTCACGGAATAATAATTTACAGTATTATTGTGAAAATTCAGTTCTACTTAAAAGTTAATAATTTTGAACTTTTAAAATAAAAGCTAAGACTTATGCTTAATAATACCTATAAAGGCATCATACATATAATTTATATTGTAGTAAAACAAGGAACGGTTTATTTAGATCCTAAAATATCTTTTATTTATTTTTTTTAGCATGTTTAAGTTTATAAACAATTTTCTGTAGATTTCCACTTGTAACCATTGTTGATTACTGAGTTAGTGATAAGCTTGTATTTTTATATTTTAATATAATTTTTTATCATTTATATCACAACTAATATATGACAAGAATACCGTAGATGATTACTATAATTGTTAATAACATAGGAAAAAATATATAGAAGGGATATCAAATTAATATTTTTAATTGCACCGATTTTCTTCATCGTTCATCGATGCTTGCACTATATATTTCAAATTGTTAAACAAAATTACTTATGTTATTTATTACAGTACTCTGTCAATCAATAATATAAATTCATTATTAATATCTTACAAACATTTGATTATTAAATTTTGACTCTTGTAGGTTTATCTTTTATTCGAAAAAATTTGGACTGAATATTAACAATTCTTTTTTATATTTTAGTCAATGTGAGATCATATTATATGAGCAATTATAGAAGCTAAGTTACAAAAAAATTTAGAATTACTCTTCTTCAATTAATGATAACTATGAATAAATGATTTCAATTATTAACAGTTTTATGTAAAAAAATAATATGAATGAATGATTAAGACCTTTTCATAAAAAAATTAATAAATTTAAGAAAAGGGATCATAAATGTATATGTAATTATAATTATTAGTTCTTTTTTTGAATAGTTGAATTGTTATTAATTACAATAAGGAATTAATAAATTTAAAAAAACAGCTAACTAAACATTTTATCCAGAAAAATATTACGCAAGCCGGAGGATTTAACTCATGGATCTATGGATTTTACGTCTAGTAGCAAATATTCGAGGCTTAGGCAATGTTTTCTAGAATATTGATAATCGTTTTTATAAATATAAACAAATTTAGCCACATAACAACGCTATTTAAAATTCATTATATTGCATTTTATGAAAACTAAAAATATATAACTGAGTTTCATCTATTTGTAAAATATTTTAGAAATAAGAAGCCAAAATGACATACGACTATCTTATTTGCATTCAACGACCCTTAAAAATACATTTTAATTAAAGATAATCAGGCTAGGTAAGTATTGGCATTGCGTAACTGATCTAAGGCCAGTTTCCAGATCATGTAAATGACAAAGAAAATTAATTTAAAATATAAATGTAATGTGAGGATTACTCTAAAAATTTTTAGTTTAATATTTAGTAAGTGGTTTTATATATTTAGTTTTTTTTGTAAATATTTATAAACCGGTCAAAATATAGCAAGATCTAACATACTAGCAGCATTCCTTATATTTAAAATTTAAATCATCACAATTAGGTTGGTGTTTGTTTGCTAAAAATGAGTAAAAATATTATATTATCTAATAATTTTTAACAAAAATTATAACCTTAGAAGAACTAACATTGAATCAATATGAAAATAAGTATTCTGCTGGTGATAAATTAGCTGAAGGTAAGACAAAGATTATATATAATGTAATTCAAGAGGATGGAACAAAATCAAATGAACATCTACTATCATCATTGATATATATTACGAGTAAAGATAGAATAACAGCTAACAATGCATTGCGAAGTGATATCATTGAAGGAAAAGCATCAATATCTAATTCAACTAATTGTTTAATTTTCCAATTACTGAATTCTTTAGGTTATTTTGTTATGATATTTTTTATAATTTTAATATATTGTCATTCTATTTCAAAATCTTTAACCCTTATATTTATTTATGCTGCAAAAGCCTGACATTATATTTTAACTTATTGAGAAATATAAATCTAGTTAACCTTTATTATATAAATATCTATCAATTTTGTTCTACCATTATTTATCAAATTATAAACATCAAGATGAATTTATTTTTGATTCTTCTTAATGATAGGTGTTGCAACTCACTTTGTTCGACAAATTGAGCAAAATAGTTTTATAGCAAAGAAATGTAAGATGATACCTATTGAATGGGTAGTAAGAAGAATAGCCACTGGTTCCTACCTAAAACGTCATCCACATGTTCCTGAAGGATATATCTTTAGCGATCTCAAGATGGAGACATTCTTTAAAGTTTTCCTAATCAATCAATATAATAAAAATAATTAGAAAAATAATTGCTTATTTCTTATTTTATTAAATACATATTCCATACTAGGCATGTACACAGCAGGGGAGGGCAGAAAATGGGACAAATCTCCCTTTCAAAGCCTAAAGTTCAGATGCCAGGCCATATTTTAATTTTAAACATACCATGGACAGGCCTAAAATTTTTTTTTAAATACCGAGGCCAGACCTGTAAATTTCTTTTAAAAAATACCCAGCTGGCCATATATTTTAAAAGCAAATATTAAATCACCATTAGCTATAAAAATTATAAATAAATATAATATATTTTTAAAAAATCTAGACCAGTTCTGAAAATATAAAACCTGGATTGGACCAAAAAACTTTGCATGCAAATAGTATCTGCAGATTCTAATATGCATTTAATTATGACATTCACAGCATAAATTACATTACTAATTTATTCTAGGAATTAATATCGAATTCAAAAATTTCCTCAGTATTATATTTTTTTTTTCATTTTAAAAATTTTACACCTAATTATATGTTAATTTTTCACTGTAAAACTAAAGTAAAATATTTCAAAAAAGTGATAGATTTATTGAGACCATTAGAATAGCTGAAAAAATTATATTGGAACCTAAAGAAATTAGGGCAATGACAAATTTAAGATATTATATCATTGCTGAGTCAACAGAGTTTTATAAATTTTATTTGTTAGGCCCATTGTTCCACTATATTACCCAGTCAAAGAATACTCTAAAATAAGTATATCTCCCTCTTATTTTTTTTTATAACTCAAATGAATGAAGGTTCTTGCCAGGCAGCACTCACAAATCTGTAAATTTTATTACTGCAGAATTCTTCCAAATCTATTTAAATAATGATAGAGTAAAAATTAAGTAGATTTATATTGGGAGGAAGTTAAAGCATCACATGATTCATTTTTAGCTGACACAAATTATTGTAAAAAAAATTAAATAGTTGATAATGTTCGATATAGATGCTTCACATAATTCCTTCACTCTAATAAACGATTATTTATACTCTACCATTAGTGCTCCAATGAAGAACATTTTCTTCTAACAAGAAACATACCTGAGAAGTAGTATTGTTAAATGGCTCAATTTGAACTGATTTTAAAGACAGCAAAATAATGCTTTATCATCAAGATTTTGCTAATAAATGTCTAAATATTTTATACCATCTACAAGCAAAATCTTTAGAATTGTATAATATTTTTATGGACAAACTACCAAGAAGCGCTAATATAAATACATTTAATGGGGTATCCCTTAATATACATAGAGAGTTGACAAGTACTTTTGAAATCATTGAAAAGCTAAAGAAAATTTAATTTTGCATTATAAATTTGTAATATGCTCAATTATATCTTTTCCTTCATTTTTAATACACTATATTTTTTTTAAACACAATAATTCTTAATAATATTTTTGTGCTTTAATCAATATTTCTATTGAGGAATATGTTATTCAATTAATATTTTATCATTTTATTATTTTCTAGGCAAAATAAATTACTATCTATAATCTATGATTGGCAAATTTGAAATTTTCTGTTTCTCATGGTCAAGGCAATATTTGCCGCATCATCTAAGTTTATAGTTCTTATTTTTATTCCCCAAAAGTTATCCATCCATTTAAAAATGGGCAATGTTTGCCTGATTCTGTATATACTTCATTAAATATTAAATTTTATCTTGTTGCAAATAAGAAAAAAATATCACACATTTAGCTACTCTCAGATAATTAAAAGATAATATGTTTATACAATCAGAAAATAACTAAAACGACTAATATTGAATTAGTTTGGGTTTTTATTTTAAAAAAAAGGGATAATATTTGCCTCAATCTAATATATAATATTGACAGTCTTAAAATTATCTTTCTGCGTGTCAGGTTTCAGTTCCCAAATCCAAATATTTTACGCATTATTGAAGGTCAATAATCTAAGTAAAGAACATTTTACAAACCAAAAAAATAGTCAAATTATATTCAGACCAAGTTTAGAAACCAAATTGAATCTAGTTATTTGTTGGCCAAACATTTATGCATCGCAAAAACAAGAAAATGATAATTAATAATAGTATTTTTCTTTTATCAAATGTTTTCTATAACCTAAAAAAATAAACCAACTTACTTTAAATATTTTATGCATAAAATTAGGATGATGCTAAAGGTGATCCGCAAATTAGTGAAGAAGAAATTATATGTTCAAATGATTTTATGGCATATTCCGATGACAAAAATTTGGAGCAAACTTCGATTAAAGTAATTATTAAATGTAGTCTTTCCCTAACATCAAAGAATGAGAATTGTGTTTTTTTTAAAATAAAATAATATATAGCAAAAATTCTCTTAAATGACTTAGCTATTGTTCCCTTTTAGGAACACGATTATGTTACTCCCTATTTTTATATTATCTTGATTGGTAAATATTTTTAAAAATACAGCTTCACTTAATTGTTACAGTTAGTTATAAGATTATATATTTCTTATATATTATAAAAAAAAAAATTTTACAAATTAAAAAAAATGATTAAATGTTTAAAATGATGAAAAACACATAGCACAAAAAACGCATCAAATTATTCATCCTTTACAAATCATTCATCTCAACCATATTCCCAAATTTTCTGGGACCCCAAACCCAAAACCTTTCCTGCAGCTACTTTAAAAGGTTAGATGGTGCTACACTAAATTGAGTGGGGAACGTGGCCAAATAAATTTTGACATAGAATTTATTTTTTTGTAAATATTTTACCTCAAATCTCAATAAGATGTTCTTCAACAGGAGGTCAACAAATATTCCTATGCATTTGGCTCTTCTGCTTTATAGGCTTTAAACTCCTGAGTTTTATCTCTTAAAATAAGGGTCTAGATTGAAATTTTCGACTCACCTTCCCTCCTTGACATTTATTTCTTCATTATTTTTTATGCATTTTTTTTTGTTATTTTTGTAATTTTTTAAATGTTATATCTAGTTTTTTTTCTTCTTATTCTCGTCCATTTTTTTTTTTTTTAATTTGGCCTTGCATTTAAAATGTAAAGAAAATTTAATTCAAAAACTTTTGAAATTTTATCCAAAAAACATTTAAAATTTTGTTAAATTTAATTTAAAAACTTGTGAAACTTTTGGGGCATGATCTGAATCAACATATCCAATATTATACAAATTTGTTGCAGCCATTCATAGATGCGATCAAGTATAAGTACATAAATATCCCCTTGGAAAACAACTTGATTGCAGACTCTCACAAGTAGGGAGAATAGTAATCGAAATATAATCCGGGCATAAGAAAAAAACCAGAATAAAACTCAACATTAAAACGTGACACTAACTCATAACAAAAAAAAATAATATAATTTCTTGACAACTAGAAAAAAAAAAGTAAAATGATTGAAATAAAATATAATATGGAGCACAAGTAATTTTGTTGAAATTTTTTAATTTTTAAATATTGATTTCTATTTTTTTTTTTTAAATTCCAAAATTTTATTTGGTTTGAACTACTAAAAAAAATCTATTAAAATTCGTATACGGAAAAAAAAATTTTAAGAAATGAAATTAAACATTTATAAAATATATAAATTAAATATATATTATTATATTAAAAATATATTGTAGATTAACTATATTTTAAAAAATACAATTCAATAAAATATAAGTAATTCTTTAAGTTTAAAAATATATAGTTTATCAAAAATAAAAATAACTTAATATTGAAAAAAAAAATGATAAAATTAAATCGAAAAATTATTTGACCATCAAGAGCTAGTTTCGTATAATAAATTTATTTTTATATATTATTATTATTATTTTTCCCCCTTTTACTATTTGATCGCTAAATTATATTTGAAAATTTAAATTATATTTATTATACGATACAATTTTTTTTGTAAATTTTATATATTTTGAGGATCACAGTAGCTGTGATAATAATGTTAGAAAAAAATAAATATTATAAAATTAGTATTTACTAGACAGCCCAATTTTTTTTTAAAAAAAACAGCTAGCCCAATATTTTAGCCAAAAAAAAATATTACTCAAGCCTGATTTTGCTCATAGAAAGGTTTAGACATTTATTAACGATATCTCAAGGCTTTGGATAATGTTATTTTGGCTAAAATCATAATTTACAATTGGCTAAATCTTGCCGTTTAATTAACACTAATATTATTACTATGATGGGGTTTTTTTTAAAAAAAAAAGAGGTTTTGTTAACCGTAAAATTTTTTTTTTTTTACATTATATAATGATGGCATCGTATTTTGGGATGAGTGCGGTGAATGGCATTAATGAATGATCCTAAAAATATTAGAGGAAAATTTGACCAAAAAGTTTAATGGATTAAATAGGTTTTTTCAGAACAAATACGAATTCCCCCAGAGTGGGGGTTTTTTTTTTTTTTACAAAAGCTGGATCAGTTAATGGCTAGTGTTGGTTAAAATTAATTATAACAGTTATATTTTATAACTAATTAATTACATCGTTGCTAGTTAATTTATAAATTATTTATATAATTTATTTAAAAAAAAATTTTATTATAAAAATTTGGGACTGACAAATTTTTTTCAGTGCTTGAAGAGAAAAAAAATTTATTGATCAGGGATCAAAATCTTTGAATAGCATTTTTAAACTCTGAAATTTTTATTTTGACTTTAGAAAAATAAATTTGTTTTTCAAAATTGATATTTTAAAAGGCGTGCTAATTCCTCCCCGCGCCCTCTTCCCCAAAATAAGTGTCCCTAGACACCGTGCGAGCGTTCTGCGAGGATCGTCGGGATATGAATGAGAAATTGTATACAAATAAACATTCATTTTGAGTTTGAGAAATCATCCTGATAAAAAGAAATGAATTGATATTTTCTTTTCATTTCTGATTATTCGATTCCGAATAAGTAAAATTCGAATAAAAAGAGTGATTTGTTGACAATCTATCAGCCTGATAGGTGACATCGATATTTTGTGAAAGGTTTCTTTTTTTTCAGTTGGATATACTCACTAAATTGCTCTTTAAAAAAAAATCGCGTGTCTTACAAAGAAATAACTTGATTGCATGTTCTTTATATCATTAAATTATTATTTTAAAGAATCGAATACAAAGAGTAAATTTTAATATTCGTCCTAATAGTAAATTATTCGATTATTTTAATATTCGCCCGAATAGTTCAGTTAAACAAATCGAATACAAGGAATTCACTATTCGATTCATATTTGTTTTTTAGAATAGACAAGCCTATTCTAATTAATAATTGTTGCATTTAGATCTCCCCCCCCCCATCTCCTACCCCCAAAAATGTTTCAAATACATGTGTTTTTTTTATTGAAGGAAATAAGTCGGCATAAAAGATTAATGTACAACACGATCAAAAAACAAACGATATTGGTTTTCGAAATTTTGGAAAAAATTTGGCGCGTTTATTTTAACGTAACCTTGGTCGACATGAAGGTAGAATTTGGGATAGACTCTTCCACCGGTATATTTATTTATATTTTTTTTTAAAAAGTAGAAAATTATTTCCCGGTTTACACCCGGCTTTATTCTACAAAATCAAAAATATGTACTATTGAGATGACACTTTTTATAATTTTTAATAAAATGATTGACGTTCAAATTACAGATCTTCAATGTCTCCACCCCTAACCTAACAGGCTAGGATCATGCACATACGGTTAAGTTATATTTGTCAAGAAAATTTTTTATCTATATGCAATAAATTTACAAATAAATACTAACTGCTAAAACACAGACATAAAAAAATTTGCTAAGATCTAAGATAGCCTTATATAAACTTTATTAAATAAAACAAATTATATGATATTTATATTACACCTCCTTCAGAAGATAATTCTCCCATAACAAATTCTAAATTATTGAGTCATCAGAGACTTATGGGATAATAATGGATTGTGTCGAACGGTTAAACTCATTGTGCCTGCTAATAGAAGGCTGATAAATTGAAGTGAAAGGTTGAGGAGTGGAATCACTAATATTCATCTTTTGAGCAGTGGGCGCAGTATGACTTACCCGAGATATTGCCATATTAATTTTCATATTTCTCATTGGCTTGTTTTTGTCAGATGCATAGCATTAAACCTTCGATACTTCTGAATAAAGTAAACCTTATTTCGGCATCATCACATATCTCATTATAAAGGTCAATCATATAATTTATGATAATCAAGATAATGTAATCCAAAATAAAGTGTAAATGTATGAAATATAAGAATATCTTATATAGCATTTATCACATTTCCCAACACTTAAGATTTAAAAAATCCTCAATTAGAAGATGTGTAGACTTCCTTCGATCATTGTGATTTCTGCCTCATTGTTGTTTATAGTTTTCGAGGTAATGAAGACATATCCTGAGGAACCGAATTTTCATCAGTCTTTTCCGTTTCGCCGTTTTCCCCCTCTATAGGTAGTTCTTCTACATTTTCCAATTTTTAACTATTTCCGTCTCTTCTTTCTCTCTCCCTGACTTCTCCATTTCTTTCGCTACATCTAGATTTCGCAGTTGATCAGAATGCTTTGGTATCGTTCTATCTTTACTTTCCACTGAATAGGAATATCTGCCAGTTCTGGATTTTATAATTCCATCTCTCCAACCCTGAATTGATTTCATTAATGTACCGATACAGGTTGTGAAATTTTGAATTCCCTCACTTGAATATGCTCATCATGCGCTGCCTCTGTCGCATATTAGATCATTCCATCTCATTTTTAACATTTGGATGTAACCAATCTAATCCACTTTTTAAATTACGCTTTAGAATTTTGAACAACCGAATTTTTAAAGGGATGGATAATTAAATCGAGGACCAAATTTTTATATGAAAACGATATTTGAATTATTATATCTAATTTTGTTTGACCTTTATTATCGAGAATAACTCCTAAATATCTCATGTATGTTATTTCAGTAATATCAAAATTATTAATTATTAATTTATCATGGGCTGATGCATAGGCAGATGTTAGTACTTTTGTTTTTTCAACATTTAGATATAAGCCAAAAAAACTTGCCTTCGATAATAAAAATGTTACTAAGTGTTGTAGTTTGGGCATAGATGTTGCAGTTTAACATATATCGTTGACAAAGGCTAGAATATTTATATCTTCAACCTTTAATACCGCTGCACAAGAAGCGTTGACTTTTTCAACAATAAAATTAGTGATGAAATTAAAAAGTAGTGGGGGATAAAACACAGTCTTGTTTTAGTCCAATATTGACCGGAATTTTAAGAGATTTAAGATTAGCATGAATAATTTGAATAAAATAATTAGATATAAATTAATTAGCAGTTTTAGTAAATGTGTAGGAGTTCCTATCTCTCTCAAAGCTGTCCATAATCTAGAATGAATTATAGAATCTAATGCTCTTTTAAAGTCTAAAAAGCTACATTAAAAAGTTGATTCTTCCTTAGCCCTTTCAATTTAGATTTTTAGAGCCATAATGGCCCCGAGATCATTATGACCTTTTCTAAATGAGACTGGTTTTAATCTATTTAAAATAATATCAGTAAAAACTTTGTATACCACTGAATTTAGTGATATACCTCTCCAGTCTTTAAGATATTTAGGATTTTTTATTTCAGAGAAATTAATTTAAATTGCTGTGAGCCAATCGGACGAACATGTTCCGTCATGCCAAACTCATGTCATAATTGGAAGAGGAATCTCAGCACAAAATAGAGGATCTGTTTTAAGAAATTTACTGTGGATACCATCATGACCACATGCTTTATAGTTTTTTAGTTTATTTATAATATAAATTAATTCCCCGGCTGTACATTTGATGAAAATATGATGTAGAGGGTATTGACATCTCATTTAATAATAGAGGGGACTTTATTTAAGCTAAACATTTTTGTATAATAAGATGCTCAGATTATCATTAGTTCGTGCGTGTTTGTAATAATTTGATCTCAGGCAACTTAAAAATGATTTCACTAAATGCTAGATTACCAAATAATAAATTTGCACAATTTAGGATTCTCTTAGACATTCTAAAAGTTGACATCAGCTTATATTCAGGAAATACATTGGACTGACACTAGTAAAATTTTTTGTAATAGCTATCAATTATTTTGGTAAGGGGAAACAAATATAAATTGGTCTGGTGTCTGTATAATTATAAAAAATAATCTGGCTGATTACGTCTCTAACTTTGAACCTTTAAATAGTAGAATATGTAGCATCAGATTGCAAGATGTAAAGTCCTAAACATCATAAACTTATATATCCCTGTAATTACCTTGAAAGAAAAATCTTTTTTCCTACCCTTTTAGAATATTTAAACAAATCTCCTAAGCGAGAAAATTAGTTAATTGCAGATTAATTTAATGGTAAAATCGGACGGTTAGGAATTAATAATCATAATTCCTAGGGCTCTACTGCTCTTAATATAACTGATACAGGCGGTAAATCTTAAATCTCACAAAATTCCGGTCACTATTGAACTAAAACAAGGCTGTGTTTTATCCCCCACTACTTTTTAACTTCATCACTAATTTTATTATTGAAAAAACTCAAAAGCTTCTTGTGCGGAAGTATTAAAGGTTGAAGATATGAATATTCTAGTCTTTATCGACGATATATATTTAACTGAAACCTCTATACCCAAACTTCAATACCTAGTCAATATTTTAATCATTGTAGCTCGATTTTTCGACTTATATCTAAATGTTCAAAAAACGAAGGTACTAACATTGTCAGCACAATAACTCCTGGTAAATTAATGATAGATGATGGTGATATTAGTGAAGTTGCAGTACATTAACTCATGATAAGTTAATAATAGACGATTTTGATATTACTGAAGTTACTTACATGAGATATTTTGGAGTTATCCTTGATAATAAAAGGTCAACAAAACTAGATATGATAGCTAAACTAAATAAAGCTAATTCAAAATACCGATCAATTATGAAAATTTTGGTCCTCAACCAATTATCCATCCCTTTACTATTCGAGAAGATTATGGACCTAATTTATGACCATCTAACAAATAATTGTTGATGGTAAGGTAATTTTATTATTTAAGTTATATCTTAAATATTTTCTTATATTTCTTTGATTTATTAATTATATATAAATCATAATATAAATTATTATTGACCCTTAAATCTATTTATTATCATTAGAGTAATTAATATTATCTAATACTTACAGAATAAATTTAAAATAGTTAATATAAAAACACGTATACTAATTTAATATCTACTACGTATCTCTAATCAAATCTATTTAATTAAAAAATAATTATTAAATTTATTTCCTTGAATTTTATAATTATTTTTTTGAAAGGGAGGACCTTTTATATTCTTATATTCTACTTCCTTCATTGCTAAACATATACATATACAGCCCGGGTGTAGTTCCACCCTTATATAACTTTATATTTAGGTTACAAGGTTTGTTGGTATCCTTGAGGAAAAAAATCGCCATAATTATATGGAGGATGGGCCTTCATATAATTAACCATACGCTCACCTTTGGGCGGATAATCATGATTATGTAATCCAAAATAAACTGTAATATAAAATATATGATATATAATAATATCTTATAATAGCATTTATCACAACTGAAGAATTTATTTTCTTGTGGTGAGGTGGAATTACATCTAAACACCTTTTATTAACTATTAGACTTGCCTCCTATTGACCCGATTCAATATGCCACTATCTCTTTCTACGCTGGTAAAGTCCAAGTATAGCAATGATTATAGTTGAATAATTGCTCTACTTTTAGCCGTTCATTGATGGTCAAAAATCTACTAAACCCTAATAATTATCTCCGAGGCCTTTATCTCATTGAAAATACAGTACAACTTTGAAGATATTAGAATGGAATTGGACTTCGTGCTTCCATGTCTGACAGATTTTATTCGGCCTACGCATAATGGAACCGAATTGCTGAATTTTTTTAGCCATTAATTCATCTATAGTTATGTCCTTCTCGTCTCGCGTCAAAAACGATTGACATGCCTTTTTTGATCTTACCGATAATATTTATTTCGCTCAATTGAATATTACTATTTCTCGACCTGATTGTTGTAGCACTAACCCCGCCGTGAGTCCATTAAAGATGAAGAAGAATATAAAATTAATTAAATGCGATGGAGAGATATCTCGTAATTTCTGAATAAAACGCTTATAAAATTAAATAATATATAATTGGGGAAAAAAATATAAGGCGAAATTCTATTAGCGGACGTTATAGACAACGATTCCTGGAGACTCTGGCCTCAAGGCGATAAAACTCTCATGGTCGACAAACAGGTTTACCGCGATCTTTCTAGCGTCGACGATACCAAGCTCAAAATGGTAAAAGCCAATTACCAATGGGTCTTGGATACATTGATGGTAATAATCATTTATATGTTTAAATAATTATTAACAGCTATTATTAATGTTATTTATTGCTAATGGTGGAAAATTGTGAGGATACATTTAAGCTTAAATTTTTTTTAAAGGTCTTGTTTTGGTTCTAACGCATATTTTATATTAGCTTACTCAGTGCGCCTCATAATATGCTCTAATAGCATAGGGAATGGTTATATAAAGCACATAGCTTTAGTTGTAATGAGTTTTTTAGGATAATTATTTTTATTATAACTCAATTCTATTTATTACAAAATATTATAAGAAAGAAATATAATTGTAAATATTTTCCAACCTCTTGATTTTTTAAAAAAAAATTATTTTTCATATTTTGCGATATTTAATCATGCCAAAAAAAGAAGTTGATAAGGAGATATAATATTAATAGTTTTCTGTCATATGGTGTGCCTATATTTTATTGGTTACGTTGTCACTGGGGCTCGGCTGGTTCTGCGGAACTACCCTATATGGATAACCCATGACAAATCGACCAATATAGCGCGATATTCCGACGCGACGACCATTTTTAAAAATAAATGAAATTTGGTACATGAGGATTAAATAGATTGTATATTTTATGCAAATCAAAATTTTAATGCTCTAGCTCAAATATATCCCGAGTTATAGACCTTTAGAGCTTTTTCCTCTTTTAACGAATATCAAATCATTCAAAATATTTTTTGGTTTAAAGTAACAAATTATATATCATTTTGTTGCCCTCAAAATTCTTCTTCAGAAAAACGCGAAAATTATTTTAAAAAATATCTTCAGTGTCGTTGTATTTCCGGTGAAACAGAAAGATTATTTCGAGAAGGGCCTAATATAAAACGATGAAAAAAGAATTGAAATTTTATTTAGATTTTTTTTATAATTTTAGGAATAAAAAATAACTAAATTATAAAAGGATGTTTGAAACGATGTAACTTGTCAAATATGTCTAATAACCAATATATTTAAATATTGAAGTAAAAATATTAATGGAGAAAATTAAAAATTTAAATTTTTATTTAGTATTTTTATTTATAATTTTTGGAATAAATTAAACAATTATAGAGGGCGCTATTTTTAAAGATAATGACAATATTTTATATAGAATTATTGTATACACTAGACTTTTTTTGAAAATACCATTTTTTGTACCCCAATATAAAATGTATTATAATTATCTTTGTCTATTAGCGCCCTTTAGAATTGATTTTTTTTTATTCCTAAAACTAAATTAAATTTAAAATTCTTATTTTCTCCAATAATATTTTTGCTTAAATATATAAATATATTGGCAATAAACATATTTCACGGGTTTCATCGTTTTTTAAATGGGACACTTTTCAAAATAATTTTTTTTTTTGTTTTAACGGAAATTACAACGACACTGAAGATATTTTTTAAATAATTTTTTATTCATTTTCTTAAGGAGAATCTTGAGGGCTAAAAAATGATCGATAATTTGTTGCTATAGACCAAAAAAGTATTTGAGTATTTTAAGATTCGTTAAAAGTAAAAAAAAGGTTCTCATCGAACTTTGAAGGCCCATAACTCGGGTAATATTTGAGCTAGGGCATTAAAATCTGGATTTGTATAATACAATCTATTTAACCTTCATACCGAGTTCCATCCATTTTTAAGATGGTCTCCAGGATCAATGTTTGGAATTGCTCATGCGTTCTATAATTAAAATTTTCATGTACATAGTCCCTTCAACAGACTTTCAAAACAGAGCCAATGCCCGTCATATTGATAATGATCGCTAGTCCCACCGATTTAACTCATGCTCACGCTATAAAATCCAAAATTTCCAAAGCATTGCACTCGGACATCGACAAACGTCCCGTAGAAAATTGGAATCCTGTCAGTAGGGTGGACGTTAGAATGGCGTCGGCTCATAAGGGAACTGCCGAGGTACTCACCATACTGAAAGAATACGAAGGTAATTTATCCTATATGCCACACCTAGGTTTGAGATAATTAATTATCTGCCTTACGCCTCCTATTTATAAAAGTTAAAATTATAAACCTGCAGGGACGGGTTCCGCCTGACGGATTCTAACCTAAAATATTGTCGAGAGCACCGAAAACAGGCCTGACGCGAGACCCTAAATAAATTATCCCCACTGTATATTATACATATTGACATTTAATATAGCTTAAAAAAAATTGTATTAATTATGAGCGTTAAGAAGTATTTTTATGATCTAATATATGTAATGATTTTTTTTTAAACATTCACATTTCGTCTTGTTTATATTTATTAGCGCTTCAGGTGCCCCTTATAATAATTGCTTGCGCTGGTGGGAGCAATGGCTTAGGACCTGTTATAGCAGGAAATACTCCCTTTCCCGTCATTAACTGCCCACCTTTCCCAGCCGGCTCCAACGATTTAATCATGGACATTTGGTCTTCTCTAAGAACGCCATCCGGTATATGGATTTTTTAAATACGTATTAAATAACTTAATGTTAATTTATAGATTTTGGAATTAAAATTCAATAATAAGTGCTTGCAAATTTTGGCCGCAAATTTCAATTGGCAACTTTTTAATTGATAATCCTTTTTTTGTGCATTAACAAAATAGTTGCCATTTTTTTATATTTTTAAAATATACCATTTCAATTTAAACAACGAAGTTTTTTGTAGAAAAGTACAACGCTAAACGTTTAACTGCTCAATTTGTAAACATTTTAAGTAGGCTTTCCTTTTTTAAAATTATTTAAAAAATATAATTATAGAGTATATTTATAAAATTTAGGCATGACATGCCCGACCGTTATAAGCCCAGAAGCTGGGGCCTTAGCGGCACTTTCCTCTTTAGCCTGTTATAGACCGATCATATGGTGTCATTTGAGAGCGAATCAAATTGCTAATCAGATTTGTACTATGAACAATGACGATAAATTGCTCAACCAATAAAAAAAAAGAGGATATATGTATTACCCATTTTATCGAAAATCTACATAATATAAACTTTAATCTAATCAACAGAATGATACTAAATAAAGAAAATGTGATTCTTTTTACGTTTTTATACAATTAATTCTGAAAATCAAAAGAAAATTATAAATTTTATGTTTGAAATGTCTAATATACGTTAAATATTATTAAAATTATCTATTATAAAGTGTAGTTTGATTCTTTTCTCTTATGAATTCGGGAATAAAATAGTTGACAATCCCCTCCCAAGAAATGACTATACAATATGTCATATACAATATTTTATAGAAATAGAAATAGGAAAGAATAGGATGATTTGCTACCCTTAATGGCGCTTTTATTAAGCCCAGACTTTAAAATATTGGCCAATACAAAACGAAAACTGTATAATAATAATCAGGCATAGATAACGTATCAAAGTTGCACCGATACCCCAATGTTGCCAAGTAAAAAGCCATTATCTGGCACTGATACATATATAAAAAATTAGTTTGGAACAGGAATAAAAATCTAGGAACCAGAATTTATAACCACCCTTTTTAATTTTATAGGAACCGCAAATAGGCTCTATATTGGAATTTACAGAAAATGATTCTAACAAACGTATTTTATTTTACTTTTAGAGGGTTTATTTATTGTTACCATTTTTTTTCCTATGTCTTTAACAGAGTTTTAAACTCTTCAGAACCTCGTCTAAGATCCAAAATGCTTTATGCCATGGAAAATACGGTTTTAGACAAAGGCATATAGCTGTCATGGCCATCCGAATAGTCACAGCCTATTTATATAAATAAAACTAAACCTAGCACATATCCTGTTTTTTGCTGGGCTAAAATATTATGTCCTCTCTTAAGTGGTATCAAACATCCTTAGGCGTTGCTTCGGCGCAGCTACTCTTATCTCCTACGTATTGTTAATAGCTAAAAAAAATCGGCGAATGCGGTTAAGTTTCTACATATATGTCATAAGAAAATCTAATAAGCCCTGGGGCCACTTAGTTTATGCTCTCTTCAAATTAGCAATATTTTTTAAAGAGTTGATAATTTTAGGCCAAAAAAATCTAGGTTTAACAATAATTGCGCAATAATCTAACTATGCTCCCAAAGTCGAGTTTGATTTCTCTGGGGTATCTCCTTCTCTAATTTTAATATTGACAGGGATTTTATTTTACGCCACACTTGGCCTCATTACTTGTTTTTCAGCTATTCTCCCTGTCAATTAAAAATAAGGATTTACTTATATATTATATATATATAAATGTCGTTATAATATTCTATAATAAGATTTTTTTGCACGATACATCTCCTGCGTCCAATGCCTTTCTCCTTAAGGTAATAATGATTATGGCAAAGCTGGATAAACGTAGCAACCGCCATTGATAGCAGCAGGCAACATTCTCACCCTTCAGATTATGCATCTGATAGTACTAAAAAACCGAGAAAGACCCCATATTTGATATTTTGCAAAGTCTTGTCCCATTCAATAGCACGTGGGTCTGGCCCGGACAATTTACACATAAAATATCAGTCATGGGCTAGTGAATCTCTGATTTTTCGTATTTTAATAGGCCCGGGCATTAACATTTTTTTTTATGGATTTCAAGTTAAATGTATGATTTTTACTATTTGAAAATAGATTACACAGCATGCTTATTTCTTAGTATTCTCAGAGATGTCCAATTAAAATACGAAATCTATAAATAATATAATTAAATTCACAAAAAATTATACAATTTATTTATGATATGCAATTACAAAATACACTTATACAGATACAAAAACGGTTGTTGTAGAAATGAATTGCCGTTGAGAAGAGATATAAGAGTTATTATTAATTGACATTGGGGGGAAAAAAAATTAGATACACATATGAGATGCCGGAAAATTCCTCCAAACAAAATTTAACATGTCGGGGCGGACTATTCGTAAATCTTATAACAACCTGGCCTGAGATTTCGTATAATTTTAAAAATAATTATAGCACCGGGCCGTGTAAATTTTCAAAAAATTATGGCCTTTGTAAAAGGTACGAACCAAGTCCTACAACTAGTGCAAAAATCTAGTTTAGAATACCTACCCTATGAATTTCGCACAATTTTACCCGTAACTTTTGAGTCATTTTAAGACTGTTATAAATTCTATTAGTTTCAAAAGTTATAGCAAAATTTTCTAAAAATCGTAGAGTAGGTTTTCTACACATGCTGATTCAAAGTTGGAAAAATTGACGGCACCTTGTTTCTAACTTTCTTGTATCTGTATTTCATCTCGGTGATATCGGCCGGATGCTGGGGCAGTATCTGCTGTATACTGGTAGTTTCGGCGATATCCACCGGATATCGGATAGTAATAGAATGAGTCTCGGCATCGCTTAATAATATATTATCGGTAAATCTCTGTTTAATTATTTTATAAAGTCACGAATTTATTATTTTTTTTGATTTATTCCAAATTTTACTTCAAAAAGAAATATATAAAAAAATACGTCACTTATCAATAAGTTTTGAAAAGTTATTCAAAGTCTAGATCCATATATAAAAATAATTAACACAATTTGATTTTTTTTATGTACGTTTTCTTTTCGAAAATATTCTAACATCGACTAATAGACAGTTCCATTTATGATAAATTTCCACGCGTATTTTGATCTATCATGTTTATTTCGTGTAATATGCACCAGCTTTATCATTCACATAATATGGTCCGGCTTTATCATATTCATATTTTCCGTCGTATTGCCCTCCCTCGTATCTTGCGTCGTATTGTCCGTCATAATCTGCATAATCGGTCTCTTCGCCGAATTCGTTGGCCTGAAACAGTCTCCAGGATGGGTCCGCCATAACGCTAGGAACTACGGATTCCATGTACCTGTATTTGGTGTCGTAGGTATAGTTGTAATCAAAGTCGTAGTAATGGTTGTAAAAGAAGTTCAAGTATTGAATCTTCATCTCTTTCGGATCCGTATTATCTGTTCGCGAACAATTTTTTTTAAAAAAAGTATTTGCGATAATTATTAAAATGCTTGCATATTTTTTTAAAAAAATAAAATAATAATTTTAGTCTCAAAACAGTAAAATGAATATGGCTGGGCCAGGCTTTAATTTACTTTTTTAGGCACAAAATCCAGGTTAGGCTGGAATTTTTGAAAATTTTTTATTCATCTGACTATTAGAGGTTAGCGCCCGAGAGAAAATACTCTTGGGCTGACAACTCGTTCAAAATATTTGTATGGGCCTTGCCAGAAGTACGCAATTTTTTCTCGAACTACTAGACATATGAATATCTTTTCCCTTCAATAAAAAAAAATCATTATGATCCGGGGCTTAAAAATTCCCTTCCACAAAATATTTTCACGGAGTATCTCTTACCTCAAATGACAATATTATTTAAAAAGTATATCAAAATTAGAGTACAATGATAAAAAGAAAAATGACCAGTATGAAATTTGCGCAGTGGATCATAATGACTTAAGATGTCTCTTAATTTTGTTATGTCTTTAGGAATTCTCGCCGCCCTCACGAATTCTGCTTGTTTCCAGGGGATGAAAGAATCGAATTTTGTTGTACCTAAATTATTTATTAATAAATTATTATGTTCCTGATAGAAAAAAAAATTCATTCTTTACTTTTAGGAACAATTGGTGAGTGACAGTAGTATTTTAACGTATTTGAATTATTTTATTTTAGCCTCTGAATTAGGGTTTTTAAACATCCCTATTTCCGGTCGATTCGATTTGAGAACTTTAATATAAATAATGTAAGCCCGGAGATCTTTCCTCATATATGGCAGAACGGTTTGGACCTCTATCAATGACATATGATAATACCTAGACTGACGATTCATTCATAATAAGGCATTTGAAAGCGTCGTTGAATGCAAATCAGCTGGACCCGCTATATTGGTAACCAATATAGTAATTATTCTCATGTTAAAAAAAAACTACTATTAAATTGATAACATGCTTCCTTATTTATCTCGATGATCAGGCAATTTTTTAATAAAATTTGCGTTCAGACCTCTCTTTTAAATATTTTTAATAATCATATTGGTAATCAAAATGGCTTCCCCAGCTGTTTTCATTGATGTACACTTTTAATGAATGCATCGTTCAGTCTAGGTATTATTATATGTAATTGACCTCTATTTTTGCCAAATCTTTGGCTAATATCTTAATCGGGTGATTTTTTTTAAAAATGGCGAATCGGGCTTTTTAACAATACTATCTCTGATTGTCACGAATACTTTTTCGAAAAAAAAATAAAGACATTTACCTGAAAAAAATTATAGAATTTTAATTTTAAAAAGGTTAATGATGTATAACGTTGTATTGATTTTTTATGTGTTTTTATCAAAAATTTTATATAGCGTCCATAATTTTATCCTTATAAATACAAAATAAAATTGTATTTTTTTTAAAAAAAAATTGCATCTGTCGTTTAGTCGGTAAGTGTATCCGTATCATTCAGAGATCTTTTAAGTATACCCCGGCCCGGGCCGTAATATAAATTTTTCTAAAATATATCCGGGCCGGGCCTAAAGAATTGTTTTTTAAATATATCCGCCGGGCCGGGCCTTAATATTTTTTATAAAAATTTTTACATTATGAGTTAATGGTTATAAGATTATATTATATTATAGTTATGATTAATATAATATTGGGTGATGGTTAACACTACCTAACACCCACAGATCGATCTAATTATTAATTTCCTGCAAATTTATTCAAAGTATTAATATATTTTTTTATAATTCATATCTAAATTTTTACAACATATTTTACCAAAACAATCAAATAAAGGAATATCTTAAATAAGCCCCAATATTCAAGTATTATTAATATATATTTTTTATAATTCATATCTAAATTTTTAGAATATTTACCAAAACAATCAAATAAAAGAATATCATGGCACAAAATACTGATGATATAATTAATAAAATTAAAAATAATATTTATTCTTTTAGAAATACAAATAATAATTTAAAATCTGAAATATGGGCTAAATTTAACATCATCATAGATGAAAATAAAAAAAACATTGGCTACGTACAATGTAAGAATTGTTCAAGTATATTATCTTA